GGGACAGTGCAGCTGACATGAGGAGGAGTCAGGAAAGGAAAATTACAGAAGCATAAGGTAACAATTTTCTGTTTTTCTGGCTCCCTTCTCATGCCAGCCTACGATGAGGAGGAGTCAGGAAAGGAAAATTACAGAAGCATAAGGTAATATTTATTGTGAGGATTCGCTTCAAATGGTAGCGCATTCAGTACACTGCCACTCACTTTTCACTTTGTAAGAGCTTCTTTGCCCACTTTTATTAACGCTCAATTCAAAAGAAAAGTCCATACATGTGTTCCCTCGCAGGGGTTTTCAAACATAAAGAACTGTTTTCTGTCACAACAACAACAACAGTTTTCAGTCTCACCGACTTCAAGTTGGTCCTTTAACTTAAACGTCCACTGGCCACACAAGCATGTCTTTTCGCCACACAGGAAGACTGCTCATTAGCCACAGAGGCGGATTGCCACTCAGGCTGCTGCCACACAGGCAGATTGCCACACAGGCTGCTGCTTTGCCACACAGGCTGCTGTTTTGCCACACAGGCAGATTGCCACACAGGCTATCTGCTCCCCAGTCCACCAGACACACAGTCTGGTTCTAGGTTGGGGCCCTTCTCTTAGGAGGCTGGGACTTCTTGTAGAGGCCCTAACAAGCCAGCAAGCTTCAGCTGGGCTTGTTAACTCCGAGCCTCCAGCCCTCTCAGCACTTCCCCCTAGAGGAATAACTTCATTAATACATCTGAACACAGACATCCCCACCTGCCTGCTGCCACAATATATATATTTTATGTACTCATCTTTTTGCATAATAATACAATACAATGGTGGTGTTTGGTAAATAATTAAACATATTGGTTCTTTGTCAGAGTATGATTGAATGTGTTATATAAATATATAAATATTTATTTGCCTTAGCATGCATTGTTTACTCAGTAGTTCTATAATGTATTTTAATATTTAATGTTTTATATTATGTTAACTTGAGAACGCATGTGACATAAAATAAGTCTAAAAGTAGAACTATGAGGTGAGTGATTTACACTCATCCTCATAGTTAGAGCCGATTTGTGACAATGAAACTGCCACACGTCGACTCTATAGCTCGGGAAGTGAGCGACCACATACAGTCGCTCACTTACTCCTCGATCATCCCCCTGCAAAGAGCGGTGACTGTCAGTCACCGCTCCCTGCAGGGAGTGCCCCCCTCTCTGACTGGAGGAACGGATGGGGGAGTGGGCGGGCACATCTGGCTCTGCCTCTAGATAGGCAGAGCCTGCTGTCAATCAGCCAGCTGGGTAGATCTCAACAGTATTGTCGGGATCCATCCCGGCTGCGGCACTCTCAGTATATAGCGGGCCGATAGCCCGCTATATACTGAGCTTTGGGTCACGGTAGGACATTAGTAAATATCCTCCAGTGACCCTAAAGAGAACTATGGGATAAAAAGGTTACCCCATAGTTCTCTTTTAAGTACTAGTGGCCATATTCAGCTTAATGAATACACTGACCTTACGACTGTTTACATGTTTCTTCCAGCATGAGACCGAACATCTTCCTCGGTGTGGCAGAGGGCTCAGCTCAATACAAAAAGTGGTACTTTGAGATGATCATTGATCAAGTAGATCCCTATTTGACACCAGAGCCAACTCATTTGCGCGTTGGCTGGGCTTCAACCTCGGGTTACGCTCCATATCCTGGAGGAGGTGAAGGATGGGGAGGCAACGGTGTAGGTGATGATCTTTTCTCCTATGGTTTTGATGGTCTTCACTTATGGTCTGGTAAGTGTATTTTCATGGTTTATTGATCATACTGAGAATTCGTAAAGTATTAACAGTTTATACAACATACAGTTTGCATGCAGGCGGGGGTTAAGCAACATTTTTTTTTAAATGGCTGACTTTACTTCAGGCGCCAAGTTGTTATTGGAAATATTAATCTATTTGCAGAAATCATTGACATTTCTTTCCTTCTGCACCATAGCAAATATGCAATAGCTGGGGCATATAAACACTATGACCATCATAAAGGACAAGGTCCTCACAAACAAAAAGCAGCAAGTTGAAAGCAATGTGAGGTGGCTGCTATTAATTCCTTTCAAGAGTGTTGCTGACTAGAAAACATTGCTTGCTGGTGGTCCTTTTTGAGACAGCCTGTATGTCCACATCATTCAGTTCTTTTTGGCTGTGCACCTTCACATATTGTCTGGAGATCACGAAGAAGCCCAGCTTTTCTCTAGCTACACAGGGTCCAGTTTCTTAGTGTTCCTGCACATTGTAATTCATAACCGGAATTCATCCATACAGAATTGTACTGCTACATATTTTATGTTTCTGAAAAAGTAAATACTCAGAAAACAATGTGTGCCAAATATTTTACTCAAGGGCAGGCAAAGACAATTGTTTAAGTCATAGAAAAAACTTATCAGTGACTATAATAAGAAAGTCCAGTCATTTACATGTAGTAGAGACTGATTTTAGAATAAACAAATGGAATGCACCGACTGTTCAGAGATTAACACATTGTTACCAGCTTGGAATGGAACACAACACACACTTGCCATTTAGAGGGATTTAAACTGGGTGTTCTACTCATAACACAATGAAAGCTAATTTCCTACATTTAATCCATCTTCTTCAAATACAACAGCTGTGTATAACAAACATGTGGTCAGCCTGTAGTCTGTAGAAAAAAGTCTAGGATCTAAAATATTAAACATGATATTTATCTTTTGATTACCCAATTGTTTGCAAGATTTAAATGTATACAGTACCATCACAGTAGTTTGTATATACTTACTGTGACCTGACCAGAGCCCTGTAAACCCTTGCCAAGCTTCTGCCACACTCATTTATTACAGTTATATTCTTAGCTTCAAGCTATCTGTAGAAGTTTTAGAGTATGATATTAAGGGCTTTGGGCAAAGGGAGGTCTTGGTGGATATCGATGGTGTTGAGCAAATACCTACCTATCTTTGGAGACACACAAGGCACAATGGCACTAGGAAATACTGGACACAGAAGGCACAATGGCACTGGAGAACGGTAGACAAAGGAAGTAGAAGGCACTGGAGAATGCTGGATACAGATAGTACAATGGAGAAGGGAACACAGGTAGCGGAGGGGGTCAACTTAGGCTTAGTGAAGCATTGCTTGAGTGGAGAGACCTTTCCCATGATGGGCCATGGTGCTGGAACTCCAGGAGAAACCCAGGACTGCCTGACACTGGGTCCCTGGAGAGGGGAGTATAATATTCCCCTCCCCTTTCCTTTTATGGGGCCTTCCCACCCAGCAAGGTCCCAGTTTTATGGAAAGCAGAGATTACATTTTTTTTGTGGGAGCCAGAACATTAGATGCGGGGGACCTAGAATCTTTCTTCAAGCCCAAAGCCTTTCCAGTTAATTAGATTCTGACATTTTCCAAAAGAAATCTTGTCCAACATTTGATGAACTTCATATTCTTGGATGGATCAGCTGGAGGAGTAGCTAAAGTCAAAGGATGGAAACATTTATTCAGGATCAGAGGTTTAGGCAAGAAGACAGTAGTTTGAGATGAGGAGGCAGACAAAGTTTGTAGCAGACTGGGCTAATCTTAGCAGTGATTATGTAAGGTTTATAACATGGGGAAAATTTAATGAAGGGAACCTTCAGAGGATTTTTTTTGGTGGCAAGCCAAACGTTGTCCCTGAGCTGGAGAAGCAGAGCTCCTTGTGGTGATCTGCAAATTCTTGTATGAGAGAGCAGAGTGCTGGAGCCGATTTTACATCTGGGACACAAATTTGGTTAGCCTTTGTTCATAGCACAGAGTGCAGGATTCAAGGTCTTGGTAAGGGAAGAGATGGATACTTGCTGAAGGCAAGGAAGAATGGGGACTCCTGGATTCTGACATTAGGTTGGTTTTATGAGCAAATTCAACCCAAGGCAGGTGGGAAACCTAATTATCATAATAGGCAGATACTAGGGTGAAAAGATATTGTTCTAGAAATTGGTTTATCCTCTCAGTTTGTCCGTTTGCTTGTGGGTATTAGACCAAGAAAAACTGTAAGGAGATATGCAAAGACTTACAAAGGCATTTACAGATGTGGGAGGTAAACTGGACCCCGCAACCTGAGAATATGTGGGTAGTCATGACATGAAGTATGAAGATTTCCCAGACAAAAACAGGCACCTGGTCAGCCGAAGGCGGTGAAGGAAGGGTTAGAAATTGTGCCATTTTCACGAAGCTGTCTACCACTACCCAAATTGCCCTACATCCATTGGATAGTGGGAGATCAGAAATAACATCCATAGAAACATGGTGCCATTGTTCACTGGGAATGGGTAGTGGTAGACAAGGGCTTGCAGAAGCATTGGTTGGTGACTCGGATAGGGCACAAATCACACAAGCTTTTATGTAGATTTCAACATACTTTCAGATATTAGGTCACCAGTACAAGCAGAAAAGAACAAGACAGTACTTTGGATACCAGGGTGACTAGAGAGCTTGGAGTCATGGGCCCAATTTAGGGGTTTAGTTCACTGGAGGCACTAGAGCCTTGCCAGGGGGGAATTGAAAATTAAGAGTTGACAGTCCCAGGTTTGAAAGTCATCACAAAGTCAAAATGAGAGAAGAATAAAAACCAAAGGGCTTATCTGGGGTTTAGAAGATGAGTCTTTTTTAAGTATTAAGTCTTTGTGAATTATGATATGATGAGGTGAGTCTACTAAGGGACATAGACGCTCCTCAAGAGCAAGTTTAACGGTGAGCAGTTCTTGATCTCTGATGGAATGCTTTTTTTTTCTGCTGGGAAAAATGTTTTAGAGAAGACTGCACAAGTGTGCCTAGGCCCACAGGGTTCTGGAATAGGATGGCTCCAACTCCCATGGATGTTGCATCATCCTCAAATCAGAAGGGTTTTGTGATACCCAGTCTCTTTACGGCAGTACTGAACAGAAAGGCTTGTTTTAAAATGGTGGAAAGGTCTATTTAACTGCTTTACACTTTCAGGAGAGGTCGGAGGCCTAGTAGTAAGGGTAGTAAGTAGTAAGGGTATGGACTGGCCCCACTTATGCCTCGCTGTTAGGTTACAGGCAAGACAGACGGCTGAGTTGGAAAGGGCTGTGACAGGGCTGGGAGTTCAGAAGCTGAAGCAAAGGAGACCTGTAGTTGCTTCAAATGAGTTGAGAGGTTGTGGAGATGTCTGATTACCTAGATTTGACTGGCTTCCTGTACAGTTCAAATCTTTGCGAGAGAAGCTCCTTAAAATTGCTATGTGACCTGAGTACATTGGACAGATTCATGGTTCCAGCAAACTGTCACGGGCAGGGGTGCAGAGAGGCACGAAGGAGACACAGGAGCACTCAAAGGTGCACTAGAGCCACGGGGATGCACAGGGGCACACATGGAGACAGAGGAGCTTTTGGGGGCATACTTGGAATTAAAGAGGCACACTGGAATTACAGGATTGCAAAGAGAGTCACAGAAGTCACAATGGCACTGGGAATCACTGGACTCAGGAGACACAATGGCACTGGGAAATGCTGGACACAAGAGGCACAATGGGGACAAACAGACAGGTAGTGGGGGCTCAGCTTAGGAGTAGCAGTGTGTTGCTTGAATGCTGAGCAACATATTACTTAGCCCTTTAAGGGAGAACCAATCTGGAAAGCTGCCGTTTGATTGGCCATGACACCAGCACTCTGGGTAAAACCCTAAACTGCCGACAGGTGCGTGCACGAAAGGAGACCCAACACTGAATTTCTAGACTGGTGAATGTAATAGCACTTTTATTTTATTTCTTATTAATGCAAGAGCGCTCCTGGAAACATGCACTGTGATCATAAGTTCTTGGAACTCCAACTAAAATGTTCTTTTTGTGTTGGACAGGAAGGAAAGAGCAAAACCAGATATTTTTGCTTTTTGGGTTTTCCCGTTGGGGATATTCACTCTCACTTTCTGTCCGGGTGTCCATTGTCACCTGGGTAGAATATCACCCAAACAGGAGTTCAAAGGGAAACCCTTAAATGGGGATGCCAGTTATGGTGACAACTGTCAAAGGTGAGATTTCCACTCACTTCCTGTCTTCTGCCTCTGGGATATGAAATGAGACAAAATCTTCACAGTGAGAATAAGAACAGAAAAATATATCTGACAAAAGTTTTATCCCTTCCTCTCTCTTGGCTGGAGTTCTGCTAAAAGGTGGAAATTCGTAAACTATGGAAAGCAAAAATTTAGTTTAGGGCCGTTCACATTAGGGGATGCGTTGCAGGGCATCTAGCTCACAGGCATTATGCCACACGTTAAAATTCATTGTTTTAAGGCAGCTCATTTATTTAAATGGGCTGCCAAATGCAGTACAATGGATCCAAAATCGTGCCTGATGCATTTTGATAACACACTCACTGCAATGTATGGTAGAGCATTATTGTGAGAAGTTCTGTAGATGCGTCGGGGTGCCAATCAAAAGGAATAATACCACAGTGCACCAGTGTGCATAACGTATGTTAGCTACCACAATGGCCTGGTGTGAACAATCCCTAACTTGTATTATACAATTTTAAGAGCTATATATACGTAACATAATTTTTAATAATGACATTTGATGATTTATTCATACTCAGTAATTTAATATTGGTTTACATACACTGTTTACCATAATTTGCTGTGGTGTAATGTTCCTAATGGAGAAATATTAACCCCTTCATGACTGAGGCCTTTTTTTTTCATTTTTTGCACCCATGTTATATTCCACATTTTAGGCCTGAAAATGACTTAAAACCCCCAAACATTATATATTTTCTGAATGCCAAGACCCTATAGAATAAAATAGTGGTAGTTGCAAATTTTTATTTTGCGCAATATTAGCGCAAGACGCTTTAAAAGCCCCCACAGGTCATCAATTTAGAGATACCCAAAAATACTGGCCCTAGAATGATTGCTCTCACTCCGGCGTGCGTGGCGATAACCAACATGTGTAGCGCGTTCGTCGTTTTCATACGTAGGCGCACCTGACACGTGTTTACGTGGCGGGGGACTTTTGAAAAAATTTTTACATTATTATTAGATTTATTTAATTTTCATTTAAAAAACTGTTTTGTTTTTTTTTTACTTTACTTTGACTGCTATCACATAGGGGGGCTTACAAGCCCCCCCATGTGATAGCAGATGGTGGTGACAGGTACTCTTTAAGGTGATGCTGGGGGTCCAAAAGACCCTCAGTGTCACCTTTACACTGGAAATAAGCTATTGAAGTGCAGATCGCACATCAATAGCTTATAGCTGGGCTGCAGGAGCCCAGAACTGACAGCCCAGGGACCGGAAGTGATGCAATCTGCATCGCTCCCGGTCCCATAAAACGGGGAGGGGATCGATGAACGGAAGTTCGTCGACCTCCTCCCCAGCTACCCGCGGACACCAAGGAAGCCGGTCCCGGGCCCGTAGGAGTGGCAACGGAGCCCGGGAAGCACGGCAGCGGTATCCGGCGAGGGGGGGGGGCCTTCTGTTGTAAAGCCGACAGTCGGCTTTACAAGTTTGTTGTTTTTTTTTGCAAAATGGTTTTATTGTATTTCACAGTTTTAAACATGACAATGCATGCCACTTGTTCCCAACAAGACAGGAACCAGGCGAGCCATGCACCTAAAAACAACACACAAAATAATCATAACCTTAATCCAAAATAGAAAATAAAATAAAATCCATGCGCGATTATCCCTGAGGGAGAACCCGCTAAAGTACAGGCGGGGGGGGGACATTCCCCAACATAGCTCACCATCTGTGCTCGTCACCATATAGTCATAACATTCCAGGATTAAAGTACTAGAACATTGTAACAAGGAGGTACTGCTAATAGTATGAATTCAGGTCTCCTTTGGTTCATCAATGCAGCGTGAATTCGCTCATAAGCAGGAGTTTCCCTAGGGGACACTGGGTAGCATGAAATGACCTCTGCACCCAAGGGCGTCTTAAGGCCAGGATCCTGTTGCCCAGCAGATGGGTCTCCTGCAGAAATAATATGTGGGGGTTATGCTGTTTGAATTTTGAGTTGAGACCCCTGATGTTCCAGGACAGTACCTTAATCTCTTCCACACTCGGCATATTCATGGGTACAACCAATACAATGAACTCGAGGCCCTGTCAGCAGGCCCCAGAGACCCATACCATCTCTCCTAGCGATATCAGATAGCGACATGTGGAGTCTGAGCACTTGAGCCCACCACCTGTACAGAAAAAACATAAAACAACCTAACCAAGGGGAAAAACAGCCCCTTCCCGCCCCAATCACCCCAAAACCCACCCTGCCAACCCAATACATAACCCAAAACCGCTCACAGAGCAAAGCGTATCAGGAGGCTTAGTATCCCCAAAAAAGGTGAACTCAGTCAGAAAAAAGGAATTGTTCAACCAGAACCCAGAACCAAACAGTCTGCTAGGGCAGTGTAGTGACCTGATAAGAGTTACTTCCAGTCCTCGAGCTTCGGGAGTCATCGAGCCCAATCTGTGGTAGTGCTGAAGCCACTGTAAGGGAGCATGGTACATCGGAAGGATGAAAGCTGACGTGCCATATGTCAGCAACAATAAAAATTAAAAACAAAAATAATAATAAGAAGTGAACGATCAGGCCGCAGCCAGCCAGGCGGCAGCCGCCGCGGGAGTGTCAAAGAAGCGGGTAGTGTACCCCATCACTTACCCGCAGCCGACTACGATATAGAAGACCATATTGGAGGCCCTTCTCACGCAGCCTCTTACGAATCTCGGTGAAGGATCTGTGCCGCTGTTGTATCTCCGCAGAGTAGTCAGGGAATAGAGAGATACGAGCGTTTTCATACTGAAGTGTAGGGCGACTTCTCGCCGCAGCAAGGACCCGGTCTCTGTCCCTGTAGTTCAGCAGGCAAATGAGGAACGGACGGGCCGGTGCCCCCGGTTTTGGCGGGACCAGCGGAACGCGGTGCGCCCTCTCCACCACGAATGTGGGCGGTAGATCCTGGAAATCCAGCAGCTTGGCCAAAAAGGTCTCAGCAAATTCAGCCGGTTGTTTTCCCTCAGCTCGTTCAGGGAGGCCCAGCAAGCGGACGTTATTGCGGCGCAGGCGGTTCTCGGTGTCCACCGCCTTCTCCTGTAGGCCCCTGAGCTGTCGCTGTAGCAGCTTGACCTCTGCGGAATCCTCCCACACAGTCTCTTCCACCTGAGAGATCCGGGCCTCAGCTGCCCCCATGCGAGTGCGGAATTTGTCCATGTCATGGCGCAGGAAGCCTACCTCGGCCGACAGCGAATCAATTTTGTTTGTGAGGGCCTCCTTACACGAAGTGATGGCCGCCAGGATGTCCGAGCTAAAGGGAGAGGGAGTCAATTCAGCTGCGCCGCTCGTCTGCGTTCCCACTGACATCTTGCTGCACTCAGCCAGTACAGCCAAGATGGCCGCCTCAGAGACACCACGAGGCTTCCCAGACGAACGGGTCGACCTACTCTTGTTGCGTTTCATTTATGTCCCCGCCGAGGAGGAAATCGGGTAGAGGATGCGTTCGGCAACACCTGACCACAGGTAAGTGAAGGAAATCAGCACCAGGATAGGTTCAGGATGTTAGATTGAGCGGAGCTCCCCGTTCTCACGTCTGCACGGGATCACATGCCGGCCACGCCCCCCCGGCTTTACAAGTTTAAACAGACTCCCGGCGACAATAGCCGCCGGGAGTCTGTTTAAACAGCCCTGATGCTGGCGACGTACTTCGTCAGTCACGAAGGGGTTAAATTAATTATAGGTCACACAGCAGAGACATGAATGCTAAATGCAAATAAAATGTCTGTTATTACTGATATGTATAGTGTGTATGTATATTTACACTTACTGTTTCTGCTACCCCTGGTTCCTCATCACTAAGGAAGAAGGTGATGTTGCCTGCTGTAACAATGCATTTCTACTTTTTCTTGTACAAGTATATTATTGTCTGAATTGTGTACTGATTTTATAATGTCTTGCTTTTTATTGTGAGCCCTATTTCCTAAATTAGGGCAGCAAAGAAACAGAAACTCTCTCTTCAGTAGCCTGTGTATTAACTTGTGCTAAGCCTTATGTGCATGATTCACAACATGACACCTGTGACTCATTCATGTGCCCTCTGTCCTTCATTTAGCTTTGATGTGCGGCAAGTGGAAATTAACCAATGTGCTTTTTTTTTTACTCACATGAAAGTGGAGTGATTATGACACTGTTTGCAATCAAATTGTTTTGTAACTTTGTGTGCAAACTACCCTGCGGCCTTAATACAGCCGTATTCTGATCAGTTGTTTAGATAAATATTTTAGTGACCTTGCCATTGTTCTATCATTTTTTGAAATAGGTCGAGTACCAAGGGCAGTGGCTTCAAGTAATCAGCACTTACTGGCTTCTGATGATGTTGTCAGCTGCTGCTTGGACCTTGGAGTGCCCAGCATTTCATTTCGCATTAATGGCCAACCGGTCCAAGGCATGTTTGAAAACTTCAATACAGAAGGATTATTTTTTCCAGTAGTGAGCTTCTCTGCTGGAGTCAAGTGAGTTATACTATGTTAACTGTTATTGTGCCTAAACAGTACCCTGAAAATGTACCTTTTCTCTTGAGGTCCTACAGAAGTGCACTTCCTGTGCCTTGACACTCTGGTGCCTTGATCCCCACAGCTGTAGATTTGCAGTTTAAGATCATTTAAGGCACTGTGTGTCTGACTGCTAGTCTTGTAAGATTTAGTGCTGCACACGGTTCTTACTGGAGGGGAAGCTGTACACAAAGGACACCAGGGTTCAAAAACACAGTACTCTCACAAAGCCACAAGGCATACATGTGTAACAGGTTGGGAAAGACTAAAGTATGGCATTATTTTGATAAAATTTATTAAAAAAATGAAAATCTCTTAACTGATTGCTGGCCTTACCCGTGCCAAGTATAGTCCCACAGCCAACATGTAAACAGCAGCAGGACCCACATTTCCCCTAGTGAAATACAGAGGATCCCATAGAGAAACGCTGAATTTGGTTAATGGCGCAATTTGCTATCTGAACTTCAGTGATACACGTAATTGTCTTTCTCTGTCCTGAGGAAATCAATAGGTGGAAAATCTCTTTCAATTAGTTTTAAATTGAACACTGGGGAACTTTGTATTTTAACCCCTTTGTGACTGCACTATGCCTTTTTAAGTCCACATAAAAAAATCCTCCTTGTCATAAGAATGCTCATTAACATTGCAGCAGATAACTGGGAATGTGCATCAATGTGTGTTCCTTCTTCTCAGGCATGATGTCAAACAGAAAAATTAGTCATAGAGTTTTTCTCAAGTTAACTGATGCATATTGACTAGGGATGCACTGATACCGATACTAGTATCGTTATCTGTGCCAATACCGAGTATTTGGGCGAGTACTCGTACTCGCCCAAATGCTCCGATACCTTGCCCGATACCGGAACTTACCGGTCGGAGGAAGATTTCCTAGTGCTGTAGGGGAGCATGGAGCTAGCTTACGTCCGATCAGGAAGCTGGGCAGCGAGTAATGACCAGCTACCCGGCTTGCTGATTTGCGGAACAGCCGACTCCATGTTGATTGGCCAGGAAGCCGACTTTCCAGCCAATCAGCATGGAGCGGTCTTCCTTGCCAATCAGGAAGGCGGGTAATTACTAGTCGCCCGGCTTCCTGATTGGCCGTGAAGCCAGCTCGATGCTGATTGGCTGGGAAGCAGGTTTCCCGGCCAACCACAATCAAGCCAGCCAATCAACATGGAGCCGACTTCCCGAGCATGTCATTGTCATGTATGTCATTACCCACTGCCTGGCTTCCTGAATGCCCGGGAAGCCTGCTCCATGCCAGCGGAAGCACAGGTATTGCTACTCGGTATCTGTACTCGGCGAGTACAGAAAGCAAAGCATCGCTACTGGTAGGCGATACCGAAAAACCGGTATCGGTGCATCCCTAAAACTGACATTGCCAAACTCGATCAGGGCCTCCAGCCTTAAAAAGCTCCGGTTATAAAAGGGTTAAACATGAATTGTTTGTTTATTATTGCTCACTTTCACCAAACAATCTCAGAATGTGCAGGAGCAGTAATTTTGGTGGCAGTGCACAAGGCTCACTGTGAGTGCCAGGGAAATCAAGTTACATGGTCCCCTATGTGATCTAAACCTTTGTAGGCAGCCTAAGAGCATGATCCCAGGTCTTATAATATATACCAGATGGAAAGTTAAAGTTTGTTTTAAGGGCCTATTTTCACTTTGGAATGTTAGGTATGCCTTCCTGCACCCTTAAGGTGCAAATACACCTGGCAATCATCGTACGATGATTCCGCGATCGTACAATAATTGGCAGGTGTATGTGAGGTGTGCGACCATTTCTACTGTACGGTCGCACGTCTTTTGTCTTCCGAGCACGCTCGAAAACCCGCCGCAAATCGTACCGTTTTCGGCGGGTTAGTGGCGCGCTCGGAAGACGAATGCCGAACGGGCCGGTATGAGCAAGCACACACTGCCCGCTCAGCATTTGAATCATCGGAAGCCCTTCCCTCGGCGGGGAGGGCTTGCGATGAACGCAAGTACGATCTCACTTTCCAAGATGGGAAGTTCATACGAAATTTTAATGACCTTACAACCATCGCACAACGAAAGTCGTGCGATGGTTGTAAGGTGTATGGCCAGCTTTAAACTGCACCTAAAGCACATTTGAAAGTTTAGTACTCTTGTTTTTAATGGTACAGTTTCAGCCAATAAAAATACTGCTTTCTGCAGCTTATGCACTGTTTCCAGCAAATGTATCTTCCACAAGAATGAATCATACCACTTGTAAAGTGCTCTTAGATTGCAGAATGTTTCCTACACATGATAAATGGATGTTTTAGCCACTTACCTACTACCGTATTGTAAAAAAAAGAAAAACACAGGGAGGTGGGCATGTATTTCTTCAAGCAGAATGGGGGCCATCATTAGACTGTTGAGATCATAGACAAAACTAAATGAGCCAATCAGAGTGACGCAGACACATGTGATTACTGTTATGGTCAATCACAGTGACTTGATTGCCTAGCAAGTATAATTTTTCAGTGTGACGCTTGATCATCTGCAAGTATAACTTTTCGGAATCAGACTTGTTCACCTGGCAACTATAATTTTTCAGCGCTAGGCTTGGTCACCTGGCAAATATAATTTTTTCATCTTAGGCTTGATTGGCTGGCAAGTATATTTTTTATGTGTCAGCCCTAAGGGTCTGGTGATATTATTTTTTCTTACATTTGTTCACTTTTCTATTGCACAAATGCAATATACAGTGTTTAGGAGACATATAATCTCATTAGTATGACAGATGAGAGAAGTGAGGATATCTCACATTTTGATTCTGATCCTAAATATGAACCTGCATCAAACAGTGACACTTTAAGAGACGCCTTTGGTTCTGAGAATGAAACAGTCCCTGCAAAATCAGCCAGGCTGCCAAGCACCAGCAGTGTGGTTCATCCAAGTAAAATGCGCAATGTGGTAGACCAACACTGTCCCAGGGATCCCATGCTTGTGTCCCTGATGACCATAAAACTTATTTGTGGGTACCTCACCCCCAGTCTTACCCCCCATTTACAGCCTAACCTGGCATACATTTAGACACTGAAGTTTTATTGCTATACAATTTTTTTTATTTATTTTTCACTGATCAGCTCTTTAATTTAATTGTTGAACAAACCAGCTTGTATGCTCAACAGTTCTTTGCTAGTAATACACATTCTAGTTATGCTACAAACTTTATGTGGCGACCTGTTACTATACCTGACTAAATGTTTTTTAGGCCTGACACTAAGCATGGGAACATGTTTTTTAAAATGCCACCAAAAGAATGATGTTTCTGTCTCGAAAAGTGATATAAAAATAATTATGGGTACAGTGTAGTATGACTGAGTAATTGTCAGTCAACCTATCACAGCACTAACAACTAAAAATGGGGTATAGACGTGCTAGTACTCAAGTGGTCAAATGAAAAAGTGGAAATAGGCCCTCAAACTATTTTTACTGCCGGCATGCTGTTAGCAACTTTTAGCAAGTAGACTAGTAGACGGTTTAGACTGGGCCTCATGAATCTTAAAAAGTAATGTTTATTTTATTTTATGTATTGCATTTTAGGGTTCGCTTTATTCTTGGTGGCCGCCATGGTGAGTTCAAGTTTTTACCTCCAGCTGGCTATGCCCCATGCTATGAAGCCTTGTTACCAAAAGAGAAGATGAGAGTGGAGCCTGTGAAAGAGTACAAGAGGGATTGTGAAGGCGTTCGAGATTTGTTGGGAACAACACACTTTCTTTCACAAGCCTCATTCATCCCGTGTCCTATTGATACCAGCCAGGTATACCTTTTTATTGCTTGTTTCATAAGCAGGTTTGTTAATCAGGAAAAAAGTTGATTAACAAAAAAGAGTGGAACACCAGCTAAAACCTTTTTTTTTTTCTTTGGAAAGACATCTGTCATTGGGACAGGATACGGGAAAAACCTCCCTAATGGAGGTACAGTGATAAAACCCTGACAGACGTTTTCTGTATAATTTGATTTCCTATTACCATGACACAACAATAGGGGGACATTTTTGCCATAAGGACACAGACAGAAGCAGTAACAAACTGATAGAGGTTCCAACTATTACCTACTGTATCAAAAAAGCTTGGATTTCCCTTGAATTATTTTTGAGTGTCACTAAATACTGTATGTGAAATTTTTTGTTGATGGAAGTACAACTACGGACATCCACGTCCAAGCTGCCAATGTATTTTGCTTCGTAAGGTTAGGTTAAAGGAAATGGGTCACTGAACACATTCTTTATCTGTTGTCCATTGAGGGACACAGCTTCATGATAAATAAGCAACCTAGGATTACACTGCTTCCTACAGGAGCAATGGACAAAGGTACATACTATATTCCAGGGGGTAGGCAGCCACTGGTAATTAAGCAATCTAAGGTTACACTGCTGCCTACAGGAGAAATAAACACTAGGCACATGGATACTGAAGGCCACCCCCCTTGAGGCTATAACCCAGTGGTAGGCAACATTTTGTGTCCATGTGTCATACACTAGATTATGCCATAATAACCACCAGCCTTGGTGACTAAAATATTATCCCTTAGCATCGGTGTCAGTGAATGCAATAACAATCCCCACCATTGCTGTCAGTGACTGCTGACTCTAATAACGTGCCTCCCAACTTTAGACTTTCATAAAGAGGGACAGCCTGGATAAGTGAGGATGTAGTGCGTGCAATTGCTACATTAGGTTGCATACTGGGCATGGTTTAAAGGTGTATTGTTAAATAGAGTCTATGCACAGTATAAACTGCACATGTTTACCACGGGCCTTATATTACTGACAGATTACTGAGTAACAGCATTTGTTGAAATGACAAACACTTTGGTCAAGGGTATGTAACATACAGCACAACATAAAAATTGTAGGAGGATATGTGATTGTACCCCTTACATTGTTGTTTAGTGAAAGGAAAAAAAATGGTTTGGTGTGGGTGGTCAGTGGGAGAAAATAAAATGCCCTGCTGTTGGTGATCTGTGGGAGGAAAATGCCGGTCATTGGGAGGAAAATGCCTGGTGTTATTAGTCAGTGCGAGGAGAAACTCCTGGTTAGGAAGGACAGACAGGGGTGTACATAGAATATATAATGTTACCTGAAGCTGTCCCTCTTATCTTAATACACATAAAACCCTAACCCCCTCACATGAACACTGACCTGTACCACAGCTGCCCCACAGCTGAAAACCACTAGGCTTAGAAGCCCCTGGATATTACTTCCTGCTTATCCCACACAGTCCTTGCTCTTGTCTTCGCCGGGTCTATGTCTGTTAAACTCCTGGTCCCCCGATTTCCCCATTGCAGACCTGTGAGCTGGGGTTGAGGTTGAGTCTAGGACACCAATCGTGCTCTGACTCCCTCCTGGCCTGTCAATCAAATGGTTGAAATAGCAACAAGCTGTGGCTCGGCCACGCAGATACCCGAGCTGTGTAGCCCAACGTAAAGTGTATTTTCACATTTGCAGTGAAATTTGCAAAAAACCCACAATACCTTATGTGTTCCCATTCATACAGCATACCTTAAAGTGATTTAAAAAAAAATATGTCTTACATTTTAGATGTTTCATTGTTGAAGGCTCTTGTTCAGATTGCAGGCTACTCTGAACAGTTTGAAAGTGAAAGTAGAGGAAGAACGTGAGGGCCAGACTGAGATTCCTCTCAGTAATATAAAATGCTTCGAAATCCTCAACCCTTTGTTAGGACAGATAGCATTTAAATCTAGTTCACAACTAATAATAAAATCTATCACCAGAGTACATAACTTCCCACAGCCCCCTCCTTAACATTACATAGGGGGGACACGTTATGTAGGGTTTTTAAGTAAGTAAAAAGCACTGGCCTACATACGAGCTGTGAGGGTTTGGCTTTCTGGCATGCCAGCAGAAAAGTCATTAAGTGCCACCCCTGGCACATGTGTTCTATAATCCGCTATTTAATTCCCCTGGTTTCCTTTTGTTTTGGACTGGTATGCCAATGTTTGTCCCTAGGTTGCCTAATTAAATTTAGTGATAGAAAAATTGGGACATATGTACTCACCATAAAGTCTTTTTCTCTAAGTCCATTGAGGGAGACAGCTCCCTTTGCTCATATGCTATCATCCTCTGTTTGGACTGCTTGCTACAACTGAGAGAGTGTGCAGTGGGGGGGCTTTAGCCTCAAGAGGGCTGGCCTTCAGTTTGTATGTGCCTAGTGTCCATTTCTCCTGTAGGTGGCAGTAACACCAAAGGTTGCTTAATTTTCACCAAGCTGTGTTCCTCTGACTCCAAGCAAAAGGTTCTATGGTGGGTACAGAAATCCTTCTTTTAGTTTCAATTGTTCATCAACATGTTATTTTTATGTGCTAGGCAGTACATGTTTTTATAGAATGCTATCATTCCTAGTGCATGAAAAATATGAATCTTCAGTTCATTAACTATCATGGACTATTTATAGTATGAGCTGAATATGTTGTGTTTAGGAGTTCTAGGGGAAAACAAACCAGATATTTTTGGTATACGGTTGAATTTTGTATTATTATGATACATATTTATAAATCTGTTTGTTAATCAGCCATTAAAGCTTTTTATGGCCATTGGTAAATACACTACTCAATATGCTTATAGATAATGCTTGCTTCTTTTGTAGATTGTTTTACCACCCCACCTTGAAAAGATTCGAGATAAGTTAGCAGAAAATATTCATGAACTATGGGGGATGAACAAGATTGAGCTTGGATGGATTTATGGAAAGGTACCAATATGTTAATAATTTCCTGTTCATTTAGTGTTGTGCTGTAATGTATAACGTTTATATTTTTTACAATAATAACTTAAAATAACTTTAAACCTACTACAGATTCAATGTGAGTTTACTAACTGCATATGGTTTTGCAGGGGTGTGGAATTCGGGCGCCGGGCGAGTAGTTTTAATAAAAATGAAAAAGTAAAAAATAAAAATGAAAAAGTAAAAAAATAAAATATAAATAAAAATGAAACCCTGCTGCCCCTGCAAATAAACACATGCGTAGGACATTCTGCTTTGAGATTGCAGCCGCTATTCCATGGTGGTAGCCAGAATTCTCTTACACGCACACAATGTGCATTAAAGGGTAAGTTCATTTTCCCAGGTAATATGGAAAAATAAACATTACCCGATGAAATCTGGCCCTGGCTATACTTACCTTTCGGCGTACAATCCCTCCCCTCCGCCAGTATGGGTGTACTATCTGTCCCCCGTACTGCTGTCCAGCGCAGTCCTCCCCTATGCATTTTGAATTTCGCTTGCAAATTGCAAGCACTCATTGGTCAACGTGGTCAGATGACTGCGCTGACCAGTGAGAAGCGCTATTTAGCACAGTAAAATATGTTTTGATTAGTGTTGGTAATGTTTTGGTTCACCGATACTAGTATCAGTGCCGATACCGAGTATTTGGGCAAGTACTCGTACTCACCCAAATGCTCCGATACCTTCCCCGATATTGGAACTTACGGCCAGATGAAAATTTCCTCTGACTCGCAGTGCCGTAGGGGAACATGGAGCCAGCTTCCTGTTCAATCAGGAAGCCGTGCGGCAAGTAATGACCCGCCTCCTGGTTTTCTGATTGGCCCGGGAAGCCGGCTCCTTCCTGATTGACCGGGAAGCAGGTTTCCCGGCCAATCGCAATCAAGCAGGCCAAACAACATGGAGCCGGCTTATGTGGCAATCAGGAACCTGGGCGGGATGTCATTACCCACTGCCCGGTTTCCTGATTACCAGGGAAGCCTGCTCCATGCCAGCGGAAGCACCGGTATTAGTATTCAGTGTCGGCGAGATCTGAAAGCAAAAAATCGGTACTCGTACCCGATACCGAAAGACCGGTATTGGTGCATCCTTAGTTTTGATTAAAACTATTTTTTGTATTGGGACAAGTAGATTGTCATGAAGGACAAGTAGATTTGGCCCCCGCTTTAGCCCTTGGACAAGTAGTTTTTAAAAAAATTTCCACACCCCTGTTTTGCATATAATATATCTTTATGTACTTTATGTTCAATATACGGTGCATGCAGTATCTATTGCAGTATGTGTTTATGTCAATATGTTCTGTAACAATTTGTCACAATCTATGGTCCTCACAGTCATTCTGTGAATGTCCATCTATCTGTGTTCATCAATGTCTACTGTTCTGTGTCCATTGTTATCAATTATTATGTGTTAATGTTAGTTTTATTGTATAGTTAGAAATAAAGATTTAATGCCAGTGCCAGATCAGGCTTAACAAACATAGCACATGAGGCATGCTAGCCCACATATGCCTTTATGACCAGACTTATACCAAAAGGCCACTAAAGAAATAAGCAATTTTTCACACAGAAGATCTCTCACCATTCCTTCTGTCAAGGTAAGCCCAAGCCTGCTCACTGCAATAAAAAATAAGGTCATTAGGATTCACCAAATAACGCTATGACTGTTTGAGTTCCACTTAGTCTCTGGCCTTGTACATTTATATGGCTTTGGAACTTCACATTGTAAGATATAGGGATAAGAAAAAGTAAAAGAAAAGGTGTCTGAGCACATTAAAATAATTAATTCTCTAACTATGTGGTAGGTACGAGACGACAATAAACGCCAGCATCCCTGTTTGGTGGAATTCTCAAAGCTACCAGAAACAGAGAAGAACTACAATCTACAAATGTCTACAGAGACTTTAAAGTAAGTTTTTTTTGTTTTTTTTTAAACTACATTTTTATTTAAATTTCAAAGTACACATTGTAAATAAAAGGCAACAAGCCTTTGTCATCTCTATACAACATACATACCACGGTGCATGGACAAATATATTTTTCTGTTACATAAGCATGTCCAGTGAAGAACTTAGACTCTAGTGTCCACAACTACATATTTGAAGAAACAAAACATCTAAACCTTAGTAAAGGACTTCCGTAACAGGTAACGAGAGAATATGGGTTAGATATAAGATGCGTACGCTACCCCGTTTAGTGTCCATAAGGCATGTATCAAACAATATCTGTATGTAGAATAACCTGGAAGTAGGCAGTAATGGTTAGTAATAACAAAGGCGAAATATAATAAAGTAAGTTTTTAATCCCTAGTAAAGATTTACATTCTGAATTGTGATTGAAGTGGGTTAGATTTTTTATTTGATAGTTGCATGAGCATGGTTGTTTGCATTGATCAGATCCACAGATTGTCCAACAGTATTGGGTGCAAAGAGCTAGTAGGTGCAGTTACCAGAAATTGTTGTCATCTTGAAATTACAGTGTTAAAACTGAATAACTTTCTTAACATCCATTATTCAGTGCTGGTGTTAGGTTCTTACTAAGAGAATGCTTTATAAGTGCAATTACAGGCAAATATAAAATAAATCAGTTATATATTTAGAAAAATCTTTTAATGTATTAAAAATGCTTCTAGAGTAATAAATTAGATATAACATATTGGCTTGGAATATTGATTGGGATTGCAGTTTGAACGGAACATGTACTGACTTAAAAAGTTTCTTAAAGTGCTGAAGTGCACGCACAAGTGCCTTTCTTGATCCCTGTTCCTAGGTGGCACCATTTGATCCTAGGCCTGGGTGGTACCTAGTGCCCTAATATTTTGCCAAGCAAAGATTATGCCCCACTGCTGTTCAACTGTCAAATGTCAAAACCACAGTGGGTAGTAGAGGGTCTGGCTTTGAACAGTGGCAGCTTACAGGAAGAATAGGAGAGCACAAAGAGGACCTCAGCAGTGTGGTAATACTGTTTCACGTTAGAAAATCTGCAAAGGTAGGAAATAATTGTATTACCTTGCTGGCTATACATGTGGCAGATGTTATATATCAAGTGTGTCTGGACAGAATAAAAAAATATTAAATGCCATTATGTGCATCATTTTGGATTCTAAGAAAGATTAATTTAAAATTTCTGGGCAATTCTGGGTTTGAAATCCCATCTCTCAGACAGAAGAATTTAAATAGAGGGTAACGTTGTATGTACATAACATCTTCTTTGTTTACCAGAATACTTTTTTTTTTTTTTCTTCACAGAACCTTACTTGCTTTGGGATGCCTCATTGTTCACTCAAATCAAACAGCTGAAGAAAATCTTAAGAAAGTAAAACTCCCAAAAAAGTATGTGACCAAAACTATTACATGAGAAAGCTGTAATTTAGTGCAAGCCTTGATTTAGGGCCATATTTGATATCCTACATCACATTTTTAAAAACACTTTTACTGGTGAGGTTCCCCTGCACATTAGCCAAATTATGCAACATTTTCCGACATTCAGCAACATCTGTTCTTCAGTGGTAAATGGGGCTAAGTGAGCTATTCACTGATGTGTATAAAGCCTGATGTGTTTATGTGGATTTGCCATTCATTTCTATGGACCTGATTAACATGGGCTAAGGAAAATGCAGCATGTCCTATATTTTAAAAAAATGCGCTGAGCTATAGCACTTAGGTGCAAACTAGCCATGTAGGAATGAATGGAATATCTACTTTAAATGCATTTTTGTGCAGTAAAATAGGCCCTGGGCATTGCCCAGATATTTTTTTCTTTTTATAATCAGAAAAAAAAAAACATTGTGCATAATATATTTCAATGTATATAACAATCGTTATGTAAAAATTGCAGATTATGAAAGAAAAATATTAAAAGTGACTGTATGCAAAATAAGTGAGCCAGAATAAAATAAGTGATTTTTTTTGTGTGAAAATATAGGAAAGTGATTTAGACTACAGACTAGTTATAATATAACTTGATACAAATGAATGCATGGATAAACAAATAAACACAAAAATATTTTATATGTATTTGTAGAAAAGAATGCACTAGCTTAACATATTTTGATAGAATGATAAAAGACCATTTCTTTTTTTTTGTTGTAATTCTTTATTTTGTAAAGCACGAACATCCATACAGAGGTATAAAACATTTTCAGCATAACATTATAAATCAAGACTCTCATTGTGAAGTGCAAGTAGCAGGCTTGATCACCTTAGCATGAATCTCGTAACTTTTCCTTTTCCATTTAAGCAACATTGATAACATTTAACAATATCCGTAGTATGCAAAGGGTCCCGGACCACAAATTAGACAGGTGTCATGTGCATCACTCTCCCTGTGTCGCCCAAAACATGGTCGTGGCTTGGGTGTCACCGCCTATCTCCACCTGGTTTTTTAACAGGGGAATCTGATCTGATGGATAGTGGGAGGCGACGATCGTAGTCCATTTAATGGGAGGGCGACACAGGGCACTCGGTAATTAGTAATCCTACAACAACTGGTCAGAAGGCACCTGCTATGCTCAGTTGGTCAGGGTAACATATACACATGGGGCAGACAAGGGGTAGGGACAGACAGATTGGTGAACTTAGAAAGAGAAATGCAGAGGAAGGCAATGAGTGAGAGAAAGAGCGGGCTCCCTCCCAGTGGGATAACTGTCTCCAAGCGCTCAGGACCTCTGAGGGTCGGTCGACTGGTCCTGGTCAACGTGCCTCCGGTATTCTGGGGAGAATAAGAACTCCGTCCAAGGAGACCATACCTTGCAGAAAGTGTTGTGTGTCTCCCTGGACGATGCAGTCAGATCCTCCATTCTCCAGATCTCGTTGACCTTACTTAGCCACATGCTCACCGACTCCATTGATCCGGACCTGAGCCGTCGGCCTGGAGTATATCGCCATTATCCATGTCATCATCACCTCACCCAGTCCCAACACCCGGAGCGTCAGTTCCATAAACTGCCAATCGACGTGGTCAAAAGCCTTCTTAGCGTCGGTGGACAGAAGCAGAAGGGGGTTTCCCCGGGTGGAGGACTCATGGATGACATCTAGCACCCGTGTTACATTATTACGTGCTTCTCTAGATGGCATGAAGCCTACCTGGTCCAGGTGGATAATGTCTTGTAAATAGGAGATTAGGCGGGATGTCAATATCTTCGTGAAAAGTTTTAGGTCAGAGTTGAGTAGTGAGATGGGCCTATAATTAGAGCAGAGAAGAGGATCTTTCTCCAGTTTTGGAATGACTGCGATATGTGCTCGCAGGGAGTCTATGGGAAACGGCATGCCCCTACCGATTGCGTTGTAGTCCTTCAAGAAGTAGGGGGATAGGATTTCCATGAACGTCTTGTAGTAGGGTAAAGAAAGGCCATCCGGCCCCGGAGCTTTACCAGTGTTAGTCCTGCGTAGGGCAGCAACTAGTTCCTCTCCGGTAAGAGGTGTCTCCATGGAGCGCACCGCCTCCTCGGGTATAGCCGGCATCTCTGATTCGGCTATGTATCTCGCAATCTTTGTTCGAAGTTCCAGCGTAGCCTGAGGAGTATGTTGGCTATGGAGGTTGTATAGGGATGAGTAGTATTCTGCAAATACCCCTGCTATTTCTGCAGTCTTACACAACTTCTTCCCGGAGGGGGCCAGTATCTCTGATATATATGATTGGGCTTGCTGCGTACGTAACGCCCTGGCTAGTGGCCTGCCACATTTGTCGCCCAGTTCATAGAAAACTCGTTTACACCTAGATAGTATACTCCTAGCCTTACCTAAGCACAGGGACAACAGTTGTTCCCGGAGTCCCGTTAGTTCCCAGAGGACAGACCTGGCCAGTGACTTTTTGTGGACCGATTCCAGGCGGGCTATGTTCGCTAACAGGGCTTCCACCTTGGCCAACCTCTGTTTTTTGAGTCGTGCTCCCTGTTTAATAAAGGTACCCCTGATGTACGCCTTATGTGCCTCCCAGAGGATCATGGGATCACATTCCACAGTGTCATTGCAAGCGAAGTAAGTGGCCAGGTCAGCTTTAATATCCTCTACCAGGATGGGGTCATGCAGGATAGAATCATTTAGGCGCCAATTCCATGCCCCCCGCTCCTGCGGCTGCAGGGCAAAGGTCAAAGAAATCGGGGCATGGTCTGAGTGCAATTACTCCAACGGACGCCTCCCTCACCGCTGGCAGGTCCCTGTGTCTCACTAACAATAAGTCTATCCGGGAGTAGGAATCATGCGCGTTGGAATAGAATGTGTAGTCACTGTCTTTAGGGTACAGTGTGCGCCATATATACACTAATTGGAAGTGCCGCAGACATTTTCTGACCCTCCGGAGAGCAGAGAAGGAGAGGTGCGAAGCTGATCTTGAGCTATCCAGAATAGGGTCTAGGGCCATATTGAAATCCTCACCTAGTACTAGGACTCCCTCCGTGAATTCCCCCAGCTGCTCCAGGGTGGACTCCAAAAAAGGAATCTGACCTACGTTAGGCAAGTATACGTTTGCGAACGTGCATAAAGTAGGACCCACGCTACCCTTCACAAAAAGGAATCTGCCATCCGGACTATGTCGCGCGTCTATGTACTGCCACTGTGCGGTCCTATGCAGTACAATGCTCACTCCCTTGCATTTACCATCCGGGGAGCCACAGTGGTAGGCATGTGGAAAGTGTTGGTTCTGAAATCTGGGAATACTAGTGGCCTTGAAGTGCGTTTCTTGGACAAAGCCTACCTGGGCCTTCAGGCGTTGGAGTTCGTTGAGAACGGCCGTTCTCCTCTCCGGAATGTTCAGACCCTTGACATTCCAGGACACCACGGTACAGGACACTGGAGGCATCCTCACTGCCGGCTGGAGCTCAGGAAGGGGGAGAGTCCCTCTAGGAAAGAGGTGAGAAGAAAAGAAAAGAAAAAAAAAGGGGGGGGGGGCAGGAGAGAGAAGAAGGGGGGGGCAGGG